TTTGACATGTCAACGTGCAACATTTAATTCTGTATACACTCTTTACGCAAGGACTTGTTTTCTGGGAACCAGATCGTATTTGTTGTTAAATAGTACTTTATTCTGGGGTTATTCTATACCTCTGTAATGCTGAATAGATTCTGCGTTGAAAACATGAAATGGCTACTAGTACTTCTAGCTAGCTAACAGACAGACGAACACTCTATGCTGGGATGGTCTCCCAGCAACATGAATTCAAGAGCAGAAGAACTACAATCCTCATATTCAGTAAACCAGTATCTAAACATCATGGTTATCCATCACCACTAATTATACAGTTACCTACCTGTCTCCCCCATATCCTCATCCTCATCCTCATCCTCATCCTCATCCCCGTCCACCTTCTCCATCATCACATCCCCATTACTATCCCCATTTCCACCCCACTCCTCTCCACCCCCCTCATTCTCACCCTCCCCCTCACTAACTTCCTCCATACCATTCCCACCAACCCATCCCGCCCTAATCCTCCTCTCCGTATGATACACCCCAATAACCACCGTCCGCAACGAAACTCCAATAACCCTTGCGGCCGCCTCGTAGAAAGCCCTAGCCCGCTCATTCAGCTGCTCTTCCGTCTGGGAGCGTTTGTAAAAGCTCCCTGGACGGGGGACTGTGGCTGGAATGGCAGTGCAGGACTTGGTTTGGGCTTTTTGTTGTTCGGCGGCATCGTTTGTAGAGCCCACGCTGATTGCACGACGAATCCGTAGCTCGCCGAGAACATTGTGGAGTGCTGTTGTGAGTAGGGTGTCTTCTTCTTCTCCTTCTCCTTCTTCTTGTTGTTGTTGCTGTCCTTGCTGCGTCTGCGCAGGTGCAGTTTCATTGCTGCTGTTGTCAGTGCCCGTTCGGCTTGTTGGGAACATGTCCGTAAACGGATTCGAAGCTGGTTTATGGAAAATAAAAAAAGTTAGCATGGGATTATCATATCTACCACCCTTTGTCTAACCCCTTACTTCCCCCAACAACTCACTTCCCTCAAAAGAGCAACGAACAAAAAGAGAGGAAAAAAAAAAACTCACTTCCCCTCCCCGCAAACATTCCCTCATACCAATCCAAATACTTATCAATCTCTCCCTCATTCATCCCAAACACATCCCCAGCTCGAACTCCAATCTGCCTCTCCTTCTCCTTCCCCTTCCCCTTCCCCTCCCCCTGAAACACCCTCCACGCCTCCCAATTCATAATCTGCGCTGCAGGATCACGCCACGAGAACGGATACCTCTTCACATTCGTTAGGCCATCAGTACTTCCCTCCCCGTCATCAAAGGGGTAAAAGAGCTTCACAGCAATGATCAGGAGGGATACGAGCTGGACTTCAGGGAGGTGGTTGCGGTGGAATTTCCGCTTGCATTTTCTTCTGGTAGATGTGGTTGTGCTGCATGTAATGGGGGAGGAGTAGCTGAAGCTGTAGCCAGCTAGTTGCTGTAGCCGATTTAGGACGGGGAGAAAAGGCTCGACTGTGGTATTTTAGCATTCAACTCGGGATGACAGCGGGGTTTTAATAACATGTATTATAGACCGATAAACGGCAGGGGTGTCTTACGTGGTAATGAGAGCTGTTTGATATATGTAAGTAGCATAAGCGGGGCGTTGAGCGGCGGGATCTCCACGCCGAATTCTTTGTGGTAAAAGGCTGCTAGATCCGCGATGGCGCGGTGGAGTTGGTAGCCCGTTGGCACGTTCTGTATATTTGGCTGTGAGTAAAACCGGTCTATTTTCAATGGAGAAGAGTGCATAGCACCAAAAGGGGGGGCTTGGGTTTGGTTGAACGGGCAAGGGAAAGTTGGTAGAAAATCACCTTCGTATCCAGCGCAAAATGATACGCCGCCGGCAACCGATCCTTCATATCCTGCGGTATAAACCTGATCGCCCTGATCAGGGGTATTTCGTCGTTCAGGATCCATCTGCCATCACCCACGTTAGCATTCAGTGTGTCATCACCGCTAAATTCCAAATTCAACACACAATCTAACACAATCTAACACAACACAACATAACAGGACAGGACAGGACAAGAGAAGACAAAACACACACCTCTCCACCCTCCCAAGCCCCAACGGCACCCTCAACAACAGCACGCCCAAATAGCACAGCGCCAGCGAGTCAATCAGCTTCGGCGACTCCAGCATTCGGCGCCGCTGATAGGCCGTCTCCTCTTCGACCTCATCTTCCTCCCCCTCTCTGTCTGCATCCGTGCCTGTACCTATACCTGTACCTGTTCCTGCAGCCTGCGAACTGAATACCTCTGTTTGACTGCTCTCGCCATCCTGGCCATGGTCGGAGGCTGATGCATAGCCATACCGATCTCTGCTGCAGCTGTAGAGCTGGGGCAGACGGAGGGACCAGAGATCCTTGACGAGGGGCTGGGGATGATTATTTTTGGTTAGAAAAGGGGGGTAGAGCAAAAGAAGCGTAGAAAAAAGAAGCCGGAGTTGTGGGGGGAGGTAGGTGTGGAATGTGAATACACACCTCAAGTTCCGGCGGGCAGCCCCTTATCGTGTATCAGGCCGTGGCATTGTTTCCAGAGACGAGCTGGTATGCTTCTAGGGAGAGCTGGAAGGCTTGGGC